CGTATGCAATTCGGCTTATGCAATGCATCCGCGACTTTTCAACGTTTTATAGATGAAGTCACGCGGGATTTAGAAGGTGTTTACGCTTTGTCGATGACTTGCTCATAGCCTCTAAAGATTCTGAGGAACATTGCAGGCATTTGAAAGCTTTATTTTCCAAACTTCAGGAATATGGACTTTGCATAAATGTTTCAAAATGCACCTTTGGTCAAACGTCTATTGATTTCTTAGGTTTTCACCTTAGTGAAAACGGAATTGAACCTCTTCCTGACAAAGTCAAATGTATTTTAGATTTTCCTCAACCTACCACTCTCACTCAGCTTCGCCGATTTTTAGGCATGTTTAACTTTTATAGATGTTTCATACCTAAAGCAGCACATATTCTTTCTCCTTTAATAAAATTGTTAGAAGGCTATATTAATAAAAAGAAATCTCGTTCGTGTGTTCAGGATTCATCCCCACAATTAAATTGGAACGAGAATGCTGAACAAGCCTTTATTGCTGCCAAAAATGCCATTGCTCAGGCTACCCTTTTGAGACACCCTATTCCCGGAGCCCAGCTAAGCATCTGGGTAGATGCCTCAGACGTCGCAATAGGCGGCACACTTATGCAGTTGTCTCAACAAACATGGGAACCTATAGCATTTTTCTCTATGAAACTCAATAAAAGTCAACAGAAATGGTCCGCGTACGATAGGGAATTATTTTCTATTTATTCTGCAATTAAGAAATTCCGACACATGTTAGAGGGCAGAAATTTTATAATTTATACGGATCAAAAACCGTTAATATACGCTTTTAAACAGAACCCTCATAAATGTTCACCTCGACAATTGCGACATTTAGATTTTATTTCTCAGTACTCTACTGATATTAGGCATGTGCAAGGTTCAAAAAACGTCGTTGCTGACGCTCTTTCAAGAATCGAAATTGATTCCATAACAAAATCTCCATTTTTGGATTTTAAAAAATTTTCGGAAGCTCAACGGCATGATCCGGAGGTACAAGACCTTCTCAAAAACAACAAACAACACATCATCTTTGAAACTGGAATTTAAACCGTGCCAATATTCTGATGGTAATATTCTTTGTGACATATCAACAGACATTCCTCGTCCATTTGTTCTGAATTCCTTTCGCAGACTCATCTTTAATCATCTGCATAATCTGTCACATCCAGGAATTGCAGCTACTACGAAGCTTATTTGTTCTCTTTATGTATGGCCCGATATGAAACGTCATATAAAAATTTGGGTGAAATCCTGTGAATCTTGCCAAAAATCGAAAATTACTAGGTATACTAAAGCACCACTGGGCACATTCTCTCTTCCTGATGCACGTTTTTCAGAAATCCATATGGATATCGTCGGACCGTTACCTCCATCAGAAGGCAACGTGTACCTTTTGACTCTAATAGATAGATTCTCCAGATGGCCTGAAGCCATTCCCATCCCGGATATGAAAACGGAAACCATTTGCAGAGCCATCTTCAACTGTTGGATATCTCGTTTTGGCTGCCCATCGATCATAACAACAGACCAAGGTTCTCAAATGAGATCCGCACTTTTTGCAGAATTTACGCGCATTTTGGGTACGAACAGAATCACAAAAACAGCCTATCATCCAATGTCCAACGGCATTGTTGAACGATTTCATCGACATTTAAAATCTTCTCTCAAGGCTCACGAGACCAATAACTGGACTGAAACACTACCAGTTGTTATGCTTGGTATTCGGACAGCCGTAAAGGAAGATCTACAGTCATCTTGTGCTGAACTGGTGTACGGCACAACTCTCAAGCTGCCTAGTGATATGATAACGTCATCTAAGATATCTCCGTATGACACACAATTTATCACGAATCTTCGGCATAGAATGCAACAATTGAATCCAATAGCAACATCTGCACATTGCCAAGAAAAATGTTACGTAAGTGCTACCTTAAAGTCGTGTACGCATGTATACTTACGTGTCGATCGAGTAAAGCCACCTCTGTGCCAACCATATACAGGTCCGCATAAAGTCCTTTCTAGAACGGACAAAACTTTCACAATTGATATTAACGGTCTGAAATCTACTGTGTCTATAGACCGTGTGAAACCAGCCTATTTGCTTTCGGACTCTAATTTGCCTGAACTGAAAACAAATAAAGACTTAAAGACAGTTCAGCAGAATAAATCTGCAAACGAACTCTCTAAGACACAAACTGTCACCAGATCGGGAAGACATGTTCACTTCCCTAAGAAACTTGCTTCTTACATAACAATTTAAAACATTTTTTTTAAAATTCATATCTTAACATATTTCTTGTTATTTCATGTTTATTATATGTGTCAATACCTTGTTATATATTGAATTGCATTTTGATCTTTTCTAATTTTATATTCTAATTTTGTAATCATGTAAAAAATACCCGACAGTACGGATCCTCTGAGATAATTTCATAACCTATGTCGTTCCTTTGAATAGCCATTAAAGGAACTGGGGGGAAACTCTGTGGTGATGGCGATAAGGAGCGCGCCTTGCGCCCTCCGATAAGTGTGGCAACCCTAGAGGAGAAGTTTCTTACGAGTAGCGAGCAGAGAGAAACAGGCAGGCTGTCGGGGAGTATGCGCGATGTTCCTAAATAAAGCTTAATTTTTATTGTGCGCTATGTCTTGTTAATATTTATATCAATGCAGTAGGAACATAATCTGTGATATGGAATTCGAGGATTGGTGGTAAAACATATAGGAAAACACCATAAATTCAAGGTAATAGACTAGGTCAGGGAGCTTCATCTATCAAGCACTGAGGAGAATGGGTAGTAGGACAATGGCCACTAAATGTTTAGCAGAAATGTAATAGGCTAGGAATGCAGGCAGGAGCCTTTTTACATAGAAAAGTAATTTGCATGATTTTGACACACAAAATAATAAATACAGTGGAAATTTTAGCAGTTAAACAAGGGAACAGGATTTTTTTTTTTTTTTTTTTTTTTTTTTTCAAATCTTTAGTTTGAATTAACAGAAGTGATAAAAAATTTAGTTCAACTTTATGAGATATTTTTAACTATATTTCCAAAACAAGTTTTGGATTAGTTCAAATAACCAAATTCGAATGAACGAACAACCATTGTATATGTATATAAAATATGTAATATTTCTTTTTATGTATGCACTTTCTACTAATAAATACAGTCAAAAGTCATTAATCCGGACACCCATAATCCGGACCTCAAAGCTAAAAACTTTCTGCGCATGCGCCGCGTTGACACATGCGCATAGGCATTTACGCGTGCGCGTAAGACCTTTACGACTGCGCATATGCGTGTGCGCAAGCGCAGAATACGTTTTCGCGTGCACGTTTAATGTATAACGGACAGTATAAGCTAGGAAAAAATTATCTTTACTGATTATAAGGCATTTCAGTTAATGTTGATGGATTGCGTTGTTCCTTAATCTTTCCAGTTTGGATGCCGCTTATTATTTTTTGCACACTGTATTATTACGGCAATTTTATAAAAAGTAAACTTGAACTTTTCGATTATGTCGAAATAGAAATTCCCGATTGCTGGAGCTCCCAAAGGATCTACAAAACAAAATATGTTTCGATGTCCATCAAACAAAAAAGTGGAATTCCTGCAAAAAATGGATAAAGACATGAAAAAGGTGACAGAGAGGTTAGTGAAAACGAAAAAATTTCGATTGACAAGTTAGTCGGTATTCTCGGCACAGCAATTACGGGACTTGAACAGCGGAACTTAGTAACTGAACAAGAAATTATGTCTGTTTATAGAATTAAACAGCTTATTATCACATAAAACGAAGTAACTTAAACAACTTACATTGAAAGAAATGTTTAATAAAGTAAACAAATAAATATTAAGCTTTTTTTTCGTAAATTTTGATACCTTTTAGATCATAATTGTTCTTTATTTCATAAATTATGGTTTCATATTTTTAATTTTAGAATTTCTGCATGCCATCTTACGAGATTTAAACTGATGATCTATAATCCGGAAAAATCGATAATCCAGAATCGCCGTTTTCAGTTTCATCTGGAATCCATGTTTTCAGTTGCCAAGCTTATGATACATCACTCATAGCAAATCGCTAATTGATGCTCCCTAAGCTTTATGATGATAGCTACGAACTTGAAGGTTTTTGGATATTGTGAACAAAACGTAAAATTTTCTAATTAATGGAATTTGTTAAGAAATGGGAAGTGGTAATAAACATAGTTGATATAACAGAAGTATTCCATTGCAATGTTAATGTCCTAATAATCAATCAATTAAAAAACAGCAAACTATGTAATATGGTTTAAAATTTAAAAAAATATCGCTACAAATCATAAAAAAGAATGGTGACAGAGAGGTTGATATGAATAAAAAAAAAATCATGAACAGTTTAGTAAGAATTCTTGACAAGATAGTTAACAGGACTTAGTAATTGAACAAGAAATTATGTTTATCTGTAAAATTAAAGAATTAGCATAAAAGTAAAGGTAGCAACTTAAAATAACTTACATTGAAAGAAATGTTTAATAAAGTAAACAAATAAATATTGAGCCGTTTTTTGTTTTGTTTTTCTTAAGGTCATAAATGTTTCATTGTTTCGTAAACAACTTTTTCAGACTTTTAATTTTATAACTGCTACGTGTCGCATTATTGGATTTAAACTGATTATCTAAAATGTTGAATCGCCAAAGTTCCTGCAGGTCAGAATCTTAGACTTTGATTGAAACAGATCATCATTTTTTCATCATCATCATATTTTATTAAAAGCTGTTGTTGTCTTGTCCATATTACATGGAACAATGGCTGCCAGAGCCTACTCCAAAGAGAGTTTAGACTTTTAATATTATTAAAAGCTGTTATCTCCATCAATAAATTATGGAGCAATAAATACATTTGTTCATGCACTTCAATTAAGTGAATTTATTTATTACCATGCTGTATTGTTTAGCATATGCTTTAATTTTTCTATTATTTTAATAATTTACATTTTTGTTTTCAGTATTTGGAAGAAGAAATACCCTATTTGTGTCATTTTACCTTTGACATCTGAAAAGTCGCTTTCTATTTCTGATAATTCTGAAGACTTGGATAAAACTTGTACTGATTATTTCTCATTTGTTCCTTATGAAGATGGACTATTTGAAAGCACTAAACAAAAAGCAATGTACTTCTTTGCATTAACTGATCGTGAAAAAGAATCATGGTTTTGGGCTTTGCATAACAGTCTTGCTGAATGTGATAAAAATTCCTGTATGCAAATTCTCTCTCAGTGTGATGCTTCCCCAAAGCATGATTTATCAACCATCAGCTATTCTTCTCTGGTAATGTATTAGATATATTTTATTTAATTTGTGTATTTCTTATTTTAAAAACTTAGAAACCATATTTCTTGAAAAATAAGAATGTATATTAATTTTAATATGTTTAACATATCTAGTTCTCATCTTAGAAATTTTAATCATATATTCTCACAAATTGAGTGGGAAGATGTCATGGTGGTTAGAGTTGACTTTGGGGTACCCCTTGCATTATCGCGAAGTTGCTGTTTCATTTATTGCCAAGTTGTTTCATTTATGGTAGCCTGAGTAGTTGAATATTATGGGAACCCTATTATGACATAATCATTGCGTTAATTTCGTAGGGACTTGTGGTTGTGTGTGTGTTGGTTAAGAAGTATATTGCTTGTTTCGGGGTTTAGACGGTAAAATGGTTGAATGTGGTAAGATTAATTTGAAGTTTCTGTATGATTTCGAAAGAAAGGGAAAAAGAGCATTACTTGACTGGTGTATAAATGAAGGTTTACTTAGTAGCCATTATAAGGTGTCCTGTTTGTAGGAAGAAAATGCATATGGTTGAATATCATTATGAAGGATATTTTTGGCTCTTATTTTGTGAATTTATGTGGCGATGCCAGTATACAGATTCTAGTTCAGATAATTTTAGGAAATTTTTGGATGCTGTTAAAGAATTTTCTTTGACTGAAGAGGTGTGAATTCGTAAATAAGGTAAGTGGATATTTCCTTTGTGTAGTGCAAAGATGAATTTCCTTTTTCATGTTATTTCAGTGTTTGATTTAAAATGTAGTTTATTGAGATTATATATATATTTTATTGGCTGCTCCTTTGACTTTTGAAGTGCATATAGTTTGATGTGTACATGGACAAACTCAAGGGAGTGCGCAAAGCTTAGTTTGTGCAATTCTCTGAAATTTTTAAAGTGAAAATTGGTCGATGTGTACATGGATAAAGTCAAGGGAGGGCGCAATGCCATTTTTGTGCAATTCTGGTATTTGTTTTAAGTGAAAATAGGTCGATGTGCACATGGATGCCGAGTTTGTACAATTCTCTGTCTTTTTATTTTGGCTTTGTGTAGCGGCAATTTAGCCTAGTTTCTGCAATTATCTGATTTTTTTTTAAGTGAAAATAGGTCGATGTGTACATGGGTAAGTCAAGGGAGTGCGCAATGCCATTTTTGTGCAATTGTGGGATTTTTTTTTAAGTGATAATAGGTCAATGTGTACATGGATACCAATGCACGGAGGAAGTATTTTATTATTTATATAACTTCAAGAGTCTGATGAACTCTTGATACTGAAAAACTAAAAATCATTTCAAATAATATGAACAAGTGCTGGATTATTAACATTTTAAAATGAAATGGTTTAGGTATAAGTTAACATATATGGTATTGATTGTAAATCTTATTTGATGTTGTTTATTTAAAACTATGAATCTTTAAAATCCTTAGCAGCGCCCTTGGTATTGATTATGCAGTAAAAAGTTATGTTTAAAAGGAACTGAATATTGTATTCCATATTGTTAAATGTACTGTTAAAAAAAAAGAAAGCATTTGTTTCATGTCTTTATCAACTTTTCTTGTTAGAGTTACCTTTTTATATTTATTTTCAAAAATGCTTTCCTTTTCAGTTAAATGCTAAATGATACAGAATTTCCATAATTAAATTTTAATCTATATTTTATATTAATTTAAATCCCACAAGCAGTGAAGATTGTTCTTATAAGCACAAGCTGTACCTTCCTAAGTTGGGAATAAAAAGAAAGATTTAATAGGAAGATTCTTTAAATCTTCTTCGGAGTTGGAGGTACTTTAAATAGATTGAGCAACAAGGGGTTTGACCTTCACTTTGGACCAAGCTTTGTTAAATGACTACAATTTTGTTAAATGAATACATTGGTAAACAATGTATAAATGGTAGTAAATAAAATTTCTGCTTTCAGATTTAATCATTAATCATTTATTCCTTAAATAACATTCCTAAAAATTTTGATAAATTTATAATTTTGCATAAATCATTGATTTAAGTTTTTTAGCATAAAATATTTAAAATATTATGCTTGTAAAAATCAGGTTGTTAAATTTTATTGAAAATAAAGTGGAATGTAAAATATATCCAAGTGAAAAGCTTAATTATGCATAATAAAATGTTTGCTTTGATTTGGAATTATTGCTTTTAGTACTATACCAATTTTGAAATAACCTTATTTGTGTCAAAATAGTATTTTAAAACAATGCTTCGTATAGATCTAATATATATCTATTTTTCTGACACGAAGAACATAAGCTGAATTTTGTCATGACCAGCTAAAATGAAAGGTACATAATTATCCCTTCATTTTTTGACACTTTGGGCTCTACTCTTATATGCGCTCTAAGATCACCAAATGTGGCGATATGTGTTTTGTGCTGGTTTTTGGCGCGATTGCATGTTGTATGGCAACCCTTTTGGCATTGAATACTCTTTTGCTGGAGTGTTTTAATTGCTCGTTGGTTCATGTCGTGCATGTTTTGAAATGGCCTATGTTGCAATGTGAGACGTGGTTGCAAGAGGGTCTGGGAGATTATTTTTAGTGGCTGTGCATGATAGAAGTAAGGAAACCCTGATGCAGTGTATTGAAGAGTGGATTGAGCCTTGTACAACTATTTTTTGGATGGCTGGAAATCTTACAAGGATTTAGGAAAAGAAGGTTTTGAACATTTGTTTGTGAACCATAGTATGAATTTTCTGGATAGTGTGTCTGGCTGTTATATAAATACGATAGTGATTACATGGCGGCATGAAATTGGTATTTCTGCTTTTCGAAAAAGCATTCATTCATGGTAAATCCATTTTATTTTATTCTTGTTCTTATTTTATAAAATGTTATGTTCATTGTTTTTTTAGTATGAATTTTTGTTGTTATTGTTTTTTTTTTTTTTTTTTTTTTTTTTATTGTTTTAAATTTATTTTAGTTATTTTAGTTTATTTTGTTGATTAGTGCGTAGATTGTGCAATTCGTAGATGTTTTTTAAAGTTGAAACAGAACACTGTGTACATGGTATTCCTTGAAATTTATTGTTATGTTAATTTATTAAAGCGAGGTGTGTGTAGTTCGTAGATTCTTTCGCTGCCTAGATTGTGCAATTCGTAGATGTTTTTTAAAGTTTAAACATATTGCTGTGTACATGGATTCTTGTCAAATATTTTTGATTAGAAACTTTACGTTTTTGCTATCTAAATTTTTTGTTTTGGATTTTTAGCTTAAATTGTGTGTTCAAAACGTGGTTTTTGCATGTGCGAAAACCGTATTTTGGTAGACATTTTAGGCTTAAAGTGCAAAATGTAGACAACAAATTTAAATTGTAATATTTAAAGATTCCACACTGTGGAATTTCTTGCCAAAAGGTGAGAAATTTGGCGACTTGAGGACGCATATAAGAATAGTTCCACACTTTATATATGGTTTTTGCTTTGCTATTTTGTAATATTTTTCTCATATAGAATTTGCTGGAGAATGACATTAATTTTTCTCTTTTTTTTACAATGCAATTAACAAGCTTTAAAGATCTAAAAATTTAAGCTTTTCTGTACTTCCAATATTGCAACTTGATTAATCAATTTTGTGCTAAAACAAATATGATGGTTTACCAGTTAATAATTTTGTTTTGCATTATTTCATATGACTGTACAAGTAAATACATTCATGTTTATTGCAGGTACAGGAGTAGGTTTACGATTTAGCTGATCTTAGGTTCAAGCTATTCTGTTGATGCTAAATTATAGTGTTTTCCTGTATTATTATGACAGGCACAAATATGAGTTATGCATTACCAAAATTTTGCTGTTCTAGGCTTTAGCTTATTTTAACGTGTACGTAAATTCACCCCTGCTTTTGTGTAAGGATTTTAAACATGTACATAAATCCCCCCTGCTTTTGTGTAATAATTTTAATTGTTATGCATAATGTTATTCTCATATTGCTGAGTGTATTGCATGTAAATGTAATCCACAAAGCTTGGGACCAGAGGTCATGCGGATTTTAGGATTTTGCAGATTTCAGGACAGAAAAGATAAATCGTAATATTCACACTAAAAGTGCAAAATAAATAAGACGTATTAGATACATTTAATTAAATTATTATATACATTATTGCAATAACTTATTACATGCATTAAATATTATTACATATATAAATTGATTATATTATTCATTGTATTATATATACACAGTATCGAGGTTTGCCGATTTCGCCTCGTGCAAAGATTTCCGGTTTCGGATTCCGGTGTTAGAATCACTGTTGCTGTAAAATTTCAACAGCTTTTCTTTATTTTTCCATCTATCATACACAATCGTATTGCAATTCCATACAATTCTGCTATAAAATGCACCTGTCTCCATCTTTTGCAGAATTGCACTTTTTGCATTACTGTCAATGCAACGTGTTTACGTTTTTTAACATTGCAAGCAGTAAAATCATGAGTGCGTTCCTTATCTGTAATTGTATTAAAAAGGGCTGAAATTAAAAATATTCTTAATTTATCCACAAAATATCAGATAAAAAATGGCAGCACTAGATAATCTCGTGAAATAACAAAGAAATACAACAATGTGAATCGTGAACTTGAATGAAGAGTTGAGGGAATTGTCTGCTTTCTTATCTTGATGCAAATTAGAGGAGAAAAAACTTTTATCATGCTGTCAATAATTTGGTATTTCCATCATGTCTCATTATTATTCGGTAATTATGATGTCATTATTCGGTAAGTATTTTTTCTTCAATATTTCATACTCAGTGTTGCGGTTTCCAGAACCTATAAACTGAATGTTAATATTTTTGAGAAGCAACGCGAATTTCAAGAGTTGGCGAATTTGAGGTCGGCGGATTTTCGGTATTTGACCGTATTAACATAATGAGATAAACTTCAGAACCTTGTAGACTTTTCATAATGTACAAATGTAGTTGTTTAAAAATTTAATAATGGCAGATATTTGCTTTTTTAAAATAAATTGAAGCAAACTTCTTTCTTTTAATAGACTTTTTTATTATTTTAGGTAATTAAAGACATTTGTTAAGCAAGCAAAATGATATCAGACATGGTAAAAATATACAGCTATATATTTACCATTATATGTATCATCAGATAGCTATTTTATGGAAAAGGCATCAATACATGAAAAAAAAAATTAAGAACATGAAATTTGTATAACTTTTTTTTTTAAATTAATTTTTGGGGGTCAAAGAGAGATTACTTTTTAGTTTGTGAATAAGACCTTAATATTTTTTCAAGGCAAGTGTAGTATTAATTTACTTCTAGATGCTTTAAAATTTCAATGCTTTTGATTCAAAACTTTGGTACTCTTTGATCACCTGCACTCCGTTTGCAGAAAGTCACCCACTGTTGGTGATTAATTTTTTGGGCAAGCTAAGATGCCAAAGACAGCAGTCATTTTGTAAATGGTGGCACCCTGAGAATTACATAAAACTTCCATCTATAAAAAAATTTCGCACAAAATATCTATAATAAAACACTTATATTTTTTGTACTTTTCTTCTCATATACTCAGTAATCTGTTTTGGTTTCAAAAAAAAAAAAAAAAAAAAAAAAAAAAAAAAAAGAAAGAAAAAGAAAAAGGTCGCAAACTCGACATCACACACAACTTGACACTGCATGTAATGTTGTTTCTCCCATGTTGATTTCCTTTTGTTTTATGTGGATTTGTGTTTAATTTAAAAAAAAAATCAGGTAATTTCACAAATTTGACATCATACACAAATTTCAATCCATAAAATTTGATCATTAAAAAAAAAAAAAAAAAAAAACTTCATGGAATGCAGATTTTTTGCTTCCTGTATTGTTAAACAAAGTGCCATATTTTTGAAGAAATCCATCTCTGTCTTTTTCATCTATTGGCAAACTCTGCAGTCCCATTATGATTTCTCACAAGGAAAAAAATAAATTAATGCAACAAAAACAAACACTAATCAGATAAATGACTGTTGAATTTTCAGGCAGATATCAGCTCGGTTGCTGCATGCACGCATACCTGTTTTTCCACACAAACACATTTTGACAAAGTCGTGGGTTGCCTATTTTGGCAACATACTACATTGCCTCATAAATACTTTTCAGGGGTTGCAGATAATCAGAAAAAAGCAAAACTATAGATAATAAAATTAAGGGAAAATCATAGCATGTATCAGATATCTAAGTTTGGGAAAGGGAAAACAGATGGAAATTTTAAAAGAAATTTGTGAAGAATATACATGCAGAATGTATCTGAGAATGCAAAATTGCTAATCTTCTAATTAAGAAGTTTAATTAGTTTTCAAAATTAAAATTTTAAACTGCATATAACTGTTGTTAAATTGTTTGTTTGTTTGTTTAAAAATTATTTATTTAGAACTATTATTTTTATTTAAAACTTAATATCTTGATATAATTTTAATAATTTTCAGAGTTTAATAATTTCCAAAATTCAATAATTTTCTTTTAGTTAGGTATAAAAAGCAAGTAGTGAAATTTCTTTCATTTTTTTTTTCTTTTATCTTTCTAGCTGGAAATGAATTCAGATGAAAATTTGCCAGAGGATGGTTTTGAAATGGATTCAGAAGTAAAATTAAGCAGTAAAACAAAAAATGTTCTAAATTTTGATTATTATATGACTACACTCTTTGAAAATTATAAAAAGAAAATCAACATTTCTGAACATTCTGGAAGTTTTGAAGATCATGTACTTGATTCCAAACAGGATATGCACAAAGAATACAGTTTCTTATCAAATAAATTAAAAATTTCTGATCATTCTTCTGTGGATTGGCTAAATGTAGCTCTTGGTCGCCTTTTTTATGACTTTCTAACTCAAAAGTATTGGTCTGATGACATAAAAGCAAGAATTCAAAAGAAACTAGACAAGATAGAAGTGAGTCTTTTGGTTTTCGATGTAAAAGTTTATCATTGGTATTTCCTCTCCCAATAATGTTAATATGTCATTTCTTCGTTATACAAAGATTCTGAAAAACTAATTCCCCACCCCCAAAATTTCACACTTTAAGATGGAATTTAAATTTTGAAGAAGGAAATTTAGATTTATCAAAGCTTTTTATTCATATTTTTAATATTTTGCAAAAATCTGGCTAGTTGATAAATTTGGGTTATCTTTTATTACGAAATAGGAATGTAACAACCCTGAGATATAAAAAGATTACATGCATCTTCTCAGTATTTAAACCTTTCACATTTGTTTTTTGATAGGAATCTTTTGGTAAGTTAATAATTAATAAATATATGTGTTTTATTTGGATATTGTTGATTCTCTATCTTATCTGTCTGTCTATTTACATCTCTGGTACACAAAATCTGTTTAACTTCGTATTACCAAATGTTTAGAATTTTGTTCTATGTTTCTTATTTAAAGCATTTGTTGTTTTATAATTTATATGTAAGTGTGCCAGAGTTGCTTAATAAGCAGCATAATAGTGGAGATACAGTGTTGTTGAATGAGCTGATGCATAACTTACCTTGCAGCCCATCACAAATGACAGGTAGGCTTTAAAACTACTAAACTTTCAGCACATGAGAATAGAATATACGAGTTAAAGAGATAAACTGATGGTAAATATTTTTTTGTTCTGGTATGTTTGTGTATTCATATTAAACTAAAAAGCAGAAAAAGTTCAACAAAGTGATAAACTGATGTTAAATATTATTTTGTTCTGGTATGTTTGTGCATTCATATTAAAAAGCAGAAAAAGTTCAACAAGGGTTAGAAATGTCTTATTTAAAACCGTTGAGGTAGGAAGAAGGAGGGAGGCCTAACCATTTCTCCTATGCAATGGCTTGAAGGAATGAACTACCCCTCCTGATTCTTAAAACATTATTCATTTACTGTTTTACCTAATAGATTTAGCTCACTGTGGAGGTAAAAAAATTTAAAATCTTTATATGTATTTTCTTTACCTAGAGTATTAGCTGTGTACTTTTTTTTAAAGCTAAATTTCATTCTAATTCGTATTAAATGTTAACTTTTTGTGTACTCAGAATAGTTTTAATGTGAATGAGATATTTTTGTTTATTACAATAGACAGAAATTTTAAGATAATTGTATTTTAACAATTGACAAAAAAGTATAATCAAGTTTTTTGCATCATTAATATTAATATCAGGTATTATTTCTTTTCTCATTACTGAAGATTTTCAAAATGCTTTCTAAAATATGAGAAGTTTTTTAGCTTTACTAAAAAACTTCGTTTGCATTTTTAATCTTTTAAATCAAAAATGATATTAGTATTATGATTAAAATTAAAACTGTGCATTACTCTGTAAATTTAAAAATATAGAATTTAAAATAAAATGTACAACAGATTTCTTCCCTCTGTATTAAAAAGGTTGTAATACATTCAGAAACTTTAGATAATTTGAAAGTTTTTATGAAATTTATGACATGGAATTTCATTATTAGTAGTAATTATAATAATGCAATGTTTAAAACATTTTACATGACTTCATTAATTATAAGAAATTTATTTATTTTATTTTCAAAATTCTATAATTGTAGTATTTTAAGCATTTGTTTTCTGAATTCTGGTTCTTGTTTGAATTCTGTCTGTATGTTTATATATTTATTTTATTTGTATCTTATCATCTAAGGGAAATTTTCCAAAAGCCTTTTTGTGCATTGGATGTAATAATAATAATAACAATAAAATAAATAAATAAGTGATTAACAGAATGGGCAGTTCAGTATGTTGTCATTGTGCCAAATAGAAAGGCTTTTAATTTCTTTCATGTAGTCTTATGCATAGCCAGTTCTCAGAATGTTGCCATTCAGTACAACATAGCATCTTTATAATTTGTCTTTCAAATTTAAACAGTTGATTATTGATTTGCAAATAGTGATTTAAAAGCAATAAACAAACTTCCTGAGAATTTAAATCTTTACACTTTTTTCTTTTAATATAAATAAAAGTATAGTGGAATCTCGAGATACAAGCATCTCTATATACGACAAATTCGAGATTTGAGGAAAGTATGAGCAAAAGATTTGTCTCTAAATACGAACAATGACTCGAGTAATGAGAAATGAGCCAGGCCATTGGTATGCATGGTGCCATTTCCCAATCTAGCTCAACTCGGGGGAAATCCCTCTTCAGATAACTCAGTGTTCTTTGATCTATGTGTCGATACCTCCCAAGAAGATTATTGCCTCAGATAGTGCTGCAAAGAAAAATAGTCATTGAAATTAAGAAAGAAATCATAGATAAACATAAGTGTAATGTAAGAGGGACGGAATTGGCGAAGACTTATGGCCTTTCGACATCGGCAATCTGCACTATTCTGAGGAAGAAATTAAGAAACTTGATGTAGGCAAGGGAGTTACCATTACTTCCAAGTACCATGCAAAATTCCTAGAAGCTGTTGTTGGTGTGGATTAACAAGAAGCAGTTAAGGTTGTTGTCAGAAGCTATCATAATTGTAAACTTTGGTTATATTATTTACCAGTGTTATTTATTAGAAAAATTGATTTTTATGTTGATGTTTTTGGGGGTGCGGAAAGGATTAACTGGACTTTCATTATTTTCGATATGGAATTTTGTTTCTAGATACGAAAAATTCGCTATACGAGCTCAAAGCTGGAATGAATTAAACTTGTATCTCAAGGTTCCACTGTATACTTCATTTATAAGTGTTATTTACAATTCCATGAAACATTTTTAAAATGCATGACAAATAAATTATGCAGCTGATATAAAATTTTGCGATTTTAAAATAGAAGTACAAAATAGTAATGATTTTCTCTTTCAACATTCCAGTTGCTGTTTAATTAACTGAGACAGGCCATTATCAAGATAATCTGTAAACGTAATTAAAATTTGTCATAAAGATAAGAGATCATTTGCAAGACTACATCAAAGTTTTCAGAAATGTATGTTGGACACACAGGATAAAGGGACACTATGGATCTCCCTATATCCAATTTAATTCCAGTTGCTTTTTCTTATGGATTTTTTATAAGGATATTGCCTTTGTGCTTCATACCATGCTGATTTACTAGATTTTTTCAACTGTATCACTGATGTGTGGCTCTGGTTCACTATGATATTCTGATCATGGATGAAATGAATTCTTACAAAGATGTGTCCTGCAGCAACAGTTGAACATTTGCAAAGAATGTAAAAGTGGTACTTAGTAGATTTTCCACTGTTTCAGGATAATAAAATTTAGTATTGATTGCATACTATATATACTATGAATTAAACAAAATATTTCATGAATTTATCAATAACTCTGTATATTCAGCTCATAATTTTTATGAACATTTGCAGCTTTATTGTAACTAATAAAAGATGTTTATAATGCCATATATAACTGATGCAAATTTTTTTCCAACTTTTAATACTTTTTAAAATTTTTTAGTAATAAAGCTTTTTGTGAGATGCTAAACTGCTAATATAGTCTTCAGAATGTATTTTCTTTTTAAATTTTTGTTATTTATTATTGGTCCAATTTTCTTCTCTTTTGGCTTCAGTTTAGTTAAGATACATATTAACAATTATTCAGTTGTTTCATCCATAGAAGTAGAAAACTTTTTTCCACTATGAGGGATCCAGTTTTTAAGTTTCTGGCTGGCCACCAATGTAGTGGCACTGGAAAAAAACAAAACTGCTATACTTCCTTAGATTATAAGCTATACTTTAAACGGGATGAAGAAGGGCTTATTCTGTTTTTGCCTCCCTGTGTAAGACAGATAATATTCATAATACAACCTAAAGTCTAATTGGTTATCTTTATAGCATAATGATGATTTGACTTACTGTATGTATATCATGTTATTTTGTTTATTTATAAATAGGGAGTGGTTTTACCAATTTTAACCTCTTCAAAAATTGAGAGGGGAAAATTATATGGTGCATAGCACTTCTGAAGGCTGAGTTAAAGGAAGACGTTTTCAGATTAAAAATAGGATATAAATATGATTATTCCAATATTACTATTTAATATTACAGACCTTAATTTGAAGCTATAGTGCTAGAGCCTTCATGAAAGGCAGTTATAAATCTTAAACAACAATAAATATGTAAAACAATAGCTAATAATCAATCAAAATAAAATAAAATATTAAGACATAAATAACTACTAGTAAATTAAGTTGCATTAATAATAAATAATTAGACGATTAAATAATTAAAATATATGTCATAAATATTAAATAGAAGGTGAGTAATTTAATGATAGTAAAATATTATTTTAAGGACTTAAATAAATATGTTGAACAGCTCACTTTGTTTTACAGGAAAATTAATTCTTATTCTGACAGCTAATAATTTAAAGATTAGGTCATTTCATTTGGGGCTGTAGCTGGAATTATGATTTCTTTCAAATATTGAGAAGTTCTAAAGCTTGGCTCTATTTGGCTTTGAATGAATTTAAACATTGATTTTATAGTTAGAAAAAAAAGTCAGTTTCAGTTCTGTTCTTTTACTCACATGTTTTCCATATTACTACCATTACTAAGATTTTCTATATCATATCTTAATAATGGAATATTTATGTATGTAAATGTGGCATATCAGTTTAGAAATTAAGCCCAAACTTATATGAGGAGAAATGCATTAAAGAAGTTAAAAATATGAAATAGTTAAAAGATGTAAGATAAAGTAAAGGGTGTAGTTAGGGTAATGAATAGATTTGTCTTAAAAATTTCTTTACATGGATAACTTAAATAATTTGCATCCGCTGTCTTCATTCTTCATTACCAGATGACTCTCAATTTGACTTTTCTTTACTGAACCTCTGCTATGAACTTAGCAGAGGTTCAGTAAAGAATGCGTAATGAACCTTTGCTATGGCTTTCATTATTGTATTTTAAAGATTGAACTGAGTTTGATCAAGCAGGATAATTTTTCATTTATGAGGGGTGTTCAAATGAAAAGGTACGAAATGACACTTTGGGTATAATTGAGTAAGTAATCACCGAAGGCATGAGCACAACTGTCCCACTGTTTCTCAAGCTGAAGGATTTCCTGTTCCCAGAATTCCTGTGACTGTGACAGGAGCCACTGTGTTCTTCATTTTGTCATCTGAGTTGAAGCGCTTTCCTTTGAGATGTTTTTTAGTGGACCAAACACATGTAAGTCATGACATGCCCAGGCTGTAGGGTGGATATTCATGCTGCTCCCACTTGAACTTGGCCATTACACATTGTATGAGCTTGGATATGTGTGGATATGCATTATCATGGAGCAGAATCACTTCTTTCATCAGCAGCCCAAGCTGTTTGCTCTTGATGGACTTGCATAGTCTATGGAGTGTCTCACTGTACATATCACTGTTAATGGTTTTCCCATGTTTAAGGAGTTTGATGAATATCAGACTTCAAATGTCAAAAAAGATGGTTAGCATCACATTGCATGCTGAGAGCGTACAACTTGGAATTTTTTTAGAGGGAGGTGACAGGACGTGCTTCCATTTTATGCTGTCCTGCTTTGTCTCTGTCTCGAAGTGACGGCACCAGCTCTCATCACCAGTAATGATCTGCTTCAGGAAAGTGGAGTCTTCATGATATCATAACAGGTGTTGCAGTGCTAGCCCCATACACAGTTCCTTTTGTGGTTCTCTGAGCTTCTTTGGAACCCATTGCATGCACACCTTCTGGTAACCCAACCTGTCGTGTACAGGTTCACACTATTCACTGTGTCAATGAGTTTGGCCATGATAACCATGTTTGCCTGGCTTGGTCTCACATCATCTATCAAACACTCCTGGCCTTCATGAAAAAGAGCACTCAACGTTTTCACTGACTTTGTCGGGCACATGGTCTCCCATGTGTACCACCACCATCTAGTGATGAAGATTGACCAATTTAACCCCTTCCATGGTCATATATCTCATAACACCTCTGCTCCTCCATTATCAAATTTTGCAGTGTGAACTTCATGATGTCCTTGCATGCATTGCCACATCAACTGGACGGAACACACAACTGCCTGCTTCTCTCCTACATCATGTGTGGGTGCCTGTGCATGTGTACAACCATGCCAGACGCTACACTCATGTCCCTAGATATCTCACTAGGTTATCTCAATGCAGCATATTCGAATTTAAACTGGATTGGTTGATGTTTCGTGCCTTTCCATTTGAACGCATCTTGTATATTACCTTTCTTCTCCTAGGAAGATCGTTATTTAAATAGAATACTTTTGCATGCATCTTTTAAATGATAATTAAATTTGAATTGAAATGTTAATATTTATTTAGTTTATAAATTGTTTTGCATTGATAAACTAAATAAATATTTAAAATCTTCAGTACTTATATAAAGTTATTATTTTAGATGCCGACCTTTGTAGAATCACTCCAAGTCAGCGATGTATTCTTGGGCACCAACCTTCCACAAATTCATACAGTTTCAAATCTAGTTAGAGACAGCTTTGGTATGTGGATTGATTTTGATTTTAATTATGATGGGAGTTTCCTGATGACTCTGAAAACTAGATTAAAGATGACTAGAGGGAAGCATTTGGAAAATACTGGTATTACAGATCCATCAGCAGTGAAACAGAAGTATGCTTATCCTTAATGATTGCATGCAAGTTTAATCACATTTAAAATGTGTTATTTAATTATATATATATATATATAATTGTAAGGCAAATTGCACTTTTAGATAAAAATAAAGCAGGTAACATTTCTTTTATATTTGAATACTAATTCATAAAAAGAAAATATTGGCATATTTTTTACATTAAAATCACCGGTTCTTTCTAATTATCTGCTCTGAAAGTATCCAACTTGTTGGCAATTAATTTTTTTGCCAAGCTAACATGGGATAGTAAAAATTTCACAAAGATATAAAAAAGATATCAAAGATATAAGCGAACTCTCTCCGTAGGAGAGACTAGTTGCTTCAGCATGCATGAATAAATAAAGATACAACATACTTGATGGGAGTTTGGAACAGAAGTAAAGTTTTATTGGATATGTACAAATTTACAGATATTTATAAAGGTATATGTTGTAGGATTCAAAAATTCCCATACTGAGTCCATAATGTAAAAATATTTTGCAGTAGTGCGACTATGAGGACGATTCTGTGTTGCAACATTCTCCCTCTTTTCTAAAAAGGGTGCATTTAGTAACCGGCAATAGAAAGAAATGGCGTCAGTTGAGCAGAGAATCAATATCAAATTGTGTTCGCATGGGAAAGAGTGCTATGGAGACTTTCAAAATGTTGAAGTATGTGTACGGAAGTGAAACCTTATCAAGAATGCAAGCTTTTGAGTGGCATTGTCGTTTCAGAGAAGGCAGGAAAAGTGCTGAAGATGACAAGCGCTGTGGCCATCTCATGACTTCGTGCACCTATGCAAACATCAAAAAGGTCTCTGCGGCAGTACGTGCAAACAGGCAGCAAACAATTTGCCAAATAGCAGAATCAGTTAGGATATCAGAGGCCACATACTGCTATTAATGTACTGATTAAGGATCTTAACATGCATAGGGTGTGTCAACACATCATTCCCCGCATGTTAAATGTAGACAAAAGGGAATTTGAATGGAATGGTGGGAGATTTAATCTCGGCTGATGGCAAAGATTCTTTCCTACTTGGCAGAATTGTTACCGGAGACGAGAAATGGTGTTTTTTGTGTGACTTGCAAACCAAGAGAGCATCGGCAATCTCCACGAAAGCAGAAATACCACCAAGATTGCTCTAAAGGAATGGTCATGCTAGAGGTATTCTTTGATATCAAGGGCATTGTGCATCTGGAATTTATCCCTGAAGGACACACTGTGAACAAAGAAATAAATCTATATCAAAATCATGCGTTGTTTGCATCAGTCGATCTGGAAGAAGAGACCAAAAATGTGGGCTGAGCAGTCATGGGTGCTGTTGCATGGCAACGCTCCTGCTCACCAAACCCTACTCGTGAATGACATTCTTGCGAAAACGAAAATAACTGTTTTGCCTCATCCTTCTTTCTCACTAGATCTCGCACCCTGCAATTTCTTCCTATTTCCTAAACTGGCAAGATGCTTGCAGGGTCATCGATTTCAATCTTTAGATGAAGTTAAATGTGCATGTCAGGCTGAATTAAAGGACATGGCCAAAAATGGATTCCAGACACGCTTGATAAACTTTGCTGGCAAATGTGTGTTTTTGCACAATGGTCTTATTTTGAAGGAGGATGTGTTTCTGCAATTTAATTCATAATATTTTTTATGTTATAGACTCAGTCCGGAAACTTTTGAATCCTACCTTGTATATTGGTGGTGCCATCTATGGGCTAAAAACATATTTCAAGCTAACATCTTTTTTATACTCTCACTTTGCATTTAAATATCAAGTATCATCCTGATTAAATACAATAAAATTTATGTTAGCTCACACATAAAAATTTAGATCACATTGGTATTCGTTTTAAATCCATCTTTCTTGCAAACATTTCATGTTTTGCAATATTCACAGTTTTTATCAAAAAATCTGCAATCATATCAATAGTGAGCATATTTTGTATGTTAATATGCATAAGTTTCACAGCTTCTTGCTGGTGTTGTGTATCTATTTCAATTTACCATCATAGTGCTATTTTTACTGAGATTAATAGCAATGTTGTTATTATAGTATAATCATACCTGCCAACTTTTTACAAATTTTTCGTAATTTTTACGAAAATGCGTTTGTCTTTACGATTTTATGATCGTAATCCATTTTTTACAATTTTTTTCCTTTTTCAAGTGTTTTTAGTGATTTTTGTCGAAATTTTAGAATTTGTCACCAATTCAGTGATTTTCGCCAATTGCATCGTGTTTTACCACCAACTACCGACTACTTCGAATCCAGTAACCTGCGGTTTCTCCCAACTCGCCGCTTAACCAGCCAATCCAATGTGCTGAACTTGTTTCTCCCACTCTTTTCTTTTTCGAATTTTCTTTAATACGTCGTTGTTACGAAATGAGTTCAAAAAAACCGTATTCTCAATATTTTCGGCCTGCCTACAAAGCCGAATTTCCAACAATTCAAAAGAAATAACTATGCATTTTGCAACGTGTGCGTGTGTGGCTTCGTAATAAGTCACGGTGGAAGAAGCGACATTGTGAAGCATGTTAAGTCTAAAAAGCATGAAGTTGTGAGCCTGTGATTACATTGTAAGGAAGTTTCCTTTGCAAAATGAAGTTCTTTTAAATGCTGAAGTGGCAAATTTGAAACAAATTGAAAATTCATCTTTTGAAAAGATTCGTTTTCTTATTGATAAATTTCAATTTTTGTTAACAATTAAAGAAAATGAATGCCATAATGATGCTTTAGATGAACTACAGAACCCATTTTCTGCTGTACAGTTTGAAGACTTTGCCAGTTCTAGAGAAGATAGACTTGATGTCCTCGTTGGTACCATAAAGAATAAGAGCTGATGGAACACCAAAATATGACAGACTAGCAAGAGTTTTATGTGCTATTCTCGTAATTCCACACAGTAATGCTGAGTGCGAGAGAGTCTTCACAAACCCTGACAGGGCCCTCCCCCAGGCAAATGTGTCACCTCGATTACACATCTTAGTTTACAACTTATATTAGGCATGTTGTGTTGGCATTGGAGCAGTTGCAAAAGCATACTTTGCTTTAATTAAATGCCAGAACTATTATAAAATAAGCTAAGCTTTAAGAGTAGCCTGTACATTTAAAAACAACAAAAGAGAAAAGAAAAAACCAGCAAACTCCCCTGCGTTTATGAACACCAAGTATATAAACATTGGCCAAACCGCCAATATTATGTCATCGGCCAATCTGAGGCAACCACATTAATTAATTGCCAATTGGCCTCTGAATTAAATTTGCATGAGGAAAACAATAGAACATTAAGTCAACAGCAAGCCTCTTTTCCTCATGCAAAAAAAAAAAAAAAAAAAAAAAAAAAAAAAAAAAAACTTACAAAAAATTAACAGAATTCACACTTTGTTTCTATAATATGGATACGATACTTTTTATTCGTAATTACTATAAACAATTAAACAAACTTTTTGAAATCCATAGCAGTTACAACTTTCGTAAATAAATCCGCATTATTTAACTTATCGGGGATGAATTCAAGGTCAAACACCCTATCATTCACCAGTCTTCTATTAAAGTGATATCATACATTAATGTGCTTAGTTCGACTATTTTCTATTGGTGATCTAGAAAAATCAATGGCAGATTTGTTATCACAAAATAATTTACATTCTTTCAAATTGCACTTAAAAACTTCATCTTGTAAAATGTTTTTTGTCCACATTAATTCCTAATGGCTAAACTATGAGAATAGTTTTGTCAGGAATTTATGAGAAAAACAACGGGTTTATCTGTAGTTCTTTAACTTAAATTATAAATTGGGGTTTTCCCAGTGTGAGAAATTGAATGTATTGAACAAAAATTATACTGAAATATTTTTGTATGAATTTGCTTTTCATTTTTGTCTTCTTAATTGAAGGAACATTCTCACTGAACACACTATGATGCCATTTAAACATTTTACTCAGTTTGATTGCAGTATTATAGATTAGACACTTATCATAATATAAAACACTAGGTGCTGCTTACATATTTTGCTTTTAAAACTTGTTCCTAAATGTATGAAACTATATTAAAAAGGAAATACTTTTAAAATTATTTGTTGAAATGGCTTCTTCGCATAAACAAAAAAATCTGATGTGTACACCACATGACTTCCTTGTACGGAATATTAAATTATACGCATTTTTTCTTGCATTTTATTTAAACTTATTAGATTGAATTAAACCTACTTCGGCGACAGCGCATAAACCACAATAGAATAAATGCATTCTTTAAAATTCACTTTGTTAACCATAGTGACATTCTGGTGCTAGGTTTACTTAACAGTATTATATTTCATTCATATTATAACTCAGAATGCACAAAATGTATCTTATATCATTTAAGAATTATCTAATCATTGCCACATGTTCTATCAAATACTATAAATAAAGCTAGAACTATGTAAAAAAAAATTAAGCAAAAGCAAAACAAAAAGAAAGTTTTTCACAGACGATTGATTATTTCTCATTTAATTAATTCAGTTCTCACTTCGCGAGAAGGCAAAAATACAATAAAAACTCAAAATATCTGTTTCTTAAAAATTACGAAAGTAAATCTCAAACTTTATTTCCTCGAAAAAATTCCAGAAAGAATTAAGCATGATTTAATTGGCAACAATAAATGAATGCGTTATCTTTGTTGTTGTGAAGCTAAGTTTCTCTAGATTGGCAACAAATCCACTAGTCTCCTGTTTCAAACGTAAACATCAATGGCCGCCATTAAAAACAGGCTTAGTGGCAATTAAGCAACTATAAAATTGCTGATAATTCTAAAAATATTGCACACAGATTTACTAAAGGCATAAAATCCTTAAACGGAAGATAAAAACAACATAATTCAATCATTTTAAAGCAAAAAATTTACAATTTACAAACATTTAAGAGTAAAAGAAACTGAGATCACTGAGCCGGGTAATAGAGTGGATATATTATAAATATATTATATATGTTTGGTGCGGCTGATTGCAACCAAAATACGAGGTGCACATCTACATGCTATAGCAGTCCTATATACAAAATTTCAACGTTCTGAGGCTACTCGTTTTTGAGTTATGCGAGATACGTACGTACATACGTTCGTACAGACGCCATGAAAAATTCTCTTCAGAACTAATTTTAAAGCAGTTTTATAATTTTTTGAAGGAAAAGAGTATTTTATTCTGTCCTTACGTACAGATATCAGGCAAAAACATCGTTAAATTGCATTCGATAGCGGTCAAAATGGATATTTTCTTTGAAATATGCTGCGTGAAACTTTTCGCGATTACAATACTTCCTTTTTACTTCGTACAAGGAAGTAAAAAATGACATTTTTAGCTTTTTTACAGTTCTGAAGCATATCTCTGGTAAATTTAACTTCATTACTATCATCAGTAAGCTTCTGAAAATGATCTGTGTATCAATAATATGATGCACTGTAGCATATGAAGTGTTTGAGTCTTGATATATTAAAAATCAAATGCTAATGTCGTAATTATCAGCATGTTACTAACCCATTTCCTGTGATTGAAAATAAGCGTAAATCTAATTCTTGGTTAAAAATTAGCCTGAAATTATTTTACATACTTGATATTTGTATTTTCAAGAAGCATGCTTCAAAATATTGTATATTTATATATTGATTCCATTTTGAATAAAATCATGATGGTATATATGATTTTATGTTCTTTGCATGTTTTAACACCATTTAAATTTCCCTATGTGTAAATAAAATCAGATAAGTTTTGAATAAAAATAATTAGAATCTTTTAGAAGTTGTTAAAAATTTTTAATATATGTATGCATATATATTTATATTTACATATTTTTTTATCTCAGTGGAGATTCCATTGATTCTTCAGATGAGGATGAAAGTGAAGCAAAATCACAGTATGTATCAAATTTTAGTGTTCCTTAGTTTTAGTATTTAACATGTTAATGTTTCTTTGCTGTTATAATTTCAAATCTAAATTTCATCCTTTCATTTCAGGTCTGTTAACCGAAATAAGTTGTTCAACAAAATTGAGAAATGGATTTCATATAGGCATTTTCAGACAGTCGCACAGAGCAAATTTGTAAAACGCTATGTAGGGGATATATCAAATATGCCTCTTACTCTTACTGTAGAAGTAAATGCTTTGCATGGAATTCTAACTGTTAATATTCCTCCTGTTCCCTCTGACCGTGTGTGGTAATGAATAATTTTTTCATTGCTTTTTGTGAATGTTTTTAAATTTTAGTTTGGTAATTTGCATGACAGCTTATCCAATTATATGTACAATTATGATTCTAACAATTATTTGCCAATAACATACTTATACATATATTATAATAATACATGTATAAAAAATGCAACAAAAATATTGCACTGTAAAGAATAATCAAATATTTATATACTGCTATCATAGCTTACATAAAGATTAGTATCAGTGCAAATTTTTGTATGTGAAATTTTCACTGAATTCAAGATATTTTTGTAAATTGCTTGCTGTATGGCTAATATGGCATTAGGAAAAGTTTAAAGAATATTTTCTTATGTTGTAAAATGAATTTTAACTATTATTGTGAATTTTAATTCTGAGATGATAGCAATAAAAAATGTAAATTCTCTAGATGAAAGAAATGTATGCTGAGTTAACATGCAAATTGGTTAAAAGTTGTGAAAAACATGTAATATGTCTCCTTTGTTTAAATTATCATTCTCAGATACTATCACAAAATCATTAATTTCTGAATTAGATTGTTGATTGAAAAAGTACTTTGTTAAAAAGTAAAATATTCTGCATTCTCTAATTGAATAATTTCTCACTAATATTCGTAATTTCCATTTGCCCATATACTTTGTAGAGATTTTCAAGATTTAAAAAAAAAAAAAAAAAAATGAAATTCAACCATTTACTCTTTGGGAATACTCTATGCATAGAGGAAATTTGATAATTCTTGACATTCTCCGCCACTGAAAGGATGACTCACGAGAAATATAAGACCCAAATCCAGGTGGCGATGAATTATCATCCACCACATTTTAACATTAATGAGAATAGCAAAAGTTTTTTTTTAAAGTAGTTTTTTTAATTTGGGAACATGAAAATTCAGTTCTGCTCTTTGTAGGATCAAAGCCTAAATTGCACCAGAGCCCAGTGGAGCTCGGCTCCAGAAATTCTTAGTTTTTGAGATGAATCATAATTTTAGCTGGAGCACCAGAGCCCTAAATAAAAGGGTTCCGGCACTTCTTTTGTGTAAGTTCTCCATAATTTCAACAAGCAAATTTTATTTTAATAATAAATATGCTTTAAAAATCAATTCTAACTTCTGAATACAGGCCTGTCTTTCCCTCAGAAACCAACCTTGGGGCTCATTTTGGTTTATTTCTCGACCTCTGAAGATTTAAATGCTCATTTTTTTTAATTAGAAGAATGTATTAAGAGATACAAAAGATATATAATTATCAGAGATTTTAATTCAAAACAATTTAATTGAGGGCTTCTTTTAATGATGACCATGGTTACATTTTAAATGATTTTATTATATACAATAACAATAGTTTACTTACTTTTATTATATACAATAACTTACAATAACTTGATTCTCCGCTGACTTTTCCCTCATCTATTGGTAAAGGTTTGACAGATTTGGCACTTGCTTCTGAAAAGATTGACATAAAAGATAATCGATTTAGGGTTTTAGACTGCCGAGACTCTTATTGATCATAAATATATTTTATTAAGAGGAATTGAAGATACGGAAGTAGTTCTTCAGAGGTATAGATATCTGGGGATAAAAATGTATTGGATCGCTTTTGTAAAAAGATGAGAAAGGATATTCAAAGGTTGAAAAAAAGGTTGAGGTTACTTACAGTAGGATAGGAAATATATAATGTGGCTCTGGAATTGAAATAAGTGATGATTAAATATGCAGATAAAAATTTGAAAATTACAAAGAAAAGATACCGGGAAATTTCTTGGATGACCGCTGAACTCGAAAAAACAAAAAGGAGAGTGAGAGCCTTTAGAAAAAGCTTTCAGGTAAATAATATATCAAGATTAAAGTGCAGGGAAAGATTCTGTATAAATATGCTGTATTGCTGGCTATATGTCAGAGATTGATTAAAAAAAGTGAAGAGAGAAAGTAAATATAGATATTTCCTAAGAAGCTTAGAATATTACTTTTTAAAAATATCAACTGGAAAGGTAAAGAAAAGGATTATTTGTAAAAGTTCTGAAGGAAGAAGATTCTGGAAAAATCTCAGAAAGGATTATAAAGGATGTTTTATTCATAAACAATGATGCTGATTACTCTGTGATGACTAATATAAAAGATGTAAAATTAGAACATTACTGTTCTATTCCCGGGGAAGAATTCTCGAAACAAGAGATCCAGATGGTGAAAACTAAAAGTGGGCTAGGTACAAATGGAATTAAGGTGTGTAAAGTAAAAATGGAATTAAGTACAAATTGGTATTTGTTCTGATTTTATGGTTCTTTTATACAATAAATGTTTTAAATTTCATATTGTTCCTAAATGTTGGAAGATGGGGGAGTGGTCTTAATTCCGAAAGAAGATGTAAAATGTAGACCAGTTTGTTTGTTAAAGATCCTGCCATAGGTTTTTGACAAATTATGTATTGACCTTGGAAATCAAGTCAAGGAAGCAATATGGTTTTATAATAGGGCCACGTTGCTAATGATGCATTATAAGATTTTGTAAATTATGTTCGAGAAAAGAAAAAAAAAAAAATGTTTCATGCAGCAGCTGTCTCCTTTGATATTAAAAATGCTTTTGATTAAATGAATTGGAGTATGCTTTTAAAAATGCTATTTTAATAGCATTAAGGGTTCCTATTGACATTTTTGAACTTTTACAAAACTATTTCAAAGAAGGAAAGGTGTCATTTTATATAGAAGATAAGGCAGGTGATAAATTATATGAAGTGAAGAGAGGATGCCCTCAAAGGTCATGCAGTGCTCCATTGACTTGGAATATCATTATCAATGAATTATGCAATAAAGAGTTCTCCGATCATGTAGAAATGTTTTATTATGCCAACAACTTAATGCTTGTTGTGTCAGAATGTTCCCTGGAGAAAACATTTAAAGGTGCTGTAAATAAAATTGATACTGTAAATAATAATTGTGCTGTAAATAAAATTAATAGGTACTCTTTTTTGGGTAGATTTTTAAAATCATATAAAAAAATTCCATGTTGCAATAAAATCATTTAACTGTTTAACATTTTCATTTAAGGACATTAGCTCAGTATCCAATTCAGTGTTAAAAAATTGCACCCATCTCTTTTTTCTCTTCAAGCATACCCATCCTTTTTTCTCTAGATTTATCAACAGCTCCTTCATCAGATAGGTATTTCACATGTCTTGCTTTCTTTGATGGTTTAAATGTTGGCTGTATATTTTTATTTTTCATTATTTAAGTTGCTGCTGTTTGAAATTTGTGTCTAAAATTATTCAAGTATGTATAACAGTCTTTTAGGTCTGGATAAATTTATAAGCCATTGTATCTTGATTGAGTAATTTTATTTATATCATTCATTTAGAAGAGAATATCGTGAAGTTATTAAGAACAAAAAATTGAAATTGTCCAAATGCAGTTGCCTCAAAGGAGATTACCAGGTCACTTCTTTCAGTCTTGTTAGCCAGAGTAACTAACAGGCCATAATAAACATCACAATACTGACATCTTATTGCTTTAACATTGTCAATTCTGACTACCCAGCAAATGACACTCAGTTTTTTTAAACTAAGTTCTTAAATAAATAAAAAAGTTCAATAAAAATTTTCCATCTGTTTACTTATGATGAAAATGTTGAAAACAACTTTTGCAACTTTTAAAATAAATAACTCTAGGGACAATTTTGCAGTAACACAGAGTATTAGATTATAACTATGACATCTACATAGTGGAAAAGAAAATGTGAGTATACTTCCATCAGATATTCTTTTGTTTACATCAAAATGTTTTTCTGTCACTTTGCCCCATTGTCCTAATCTTGTCCTCCATAATCATTCAATTCAGATTATGCTCATTTAAAATATGTCTTTGTGTATTTCTATAAATAAGTAAATAGGTTTCTAATTAAAAAAAAGTATAATCAAACAATAACACATCCATAAGTTTTTCGAGATACTTTCTAAAAAGTTTTTTGCAACAACCTAGCATATAATAAAAATACAAAAACTATTTATTTCTAATTCTAAATAAGGAGATAATATATGCAAAGAAGTTTATCAAGATCTTTCTGCAATCAGCTGTAGAAAATGAATTGGTGAAAATTGCCTAAATTAAGTTTTTTAATTATACAGCTTCATAAATTTATCTTCAGATGATTATTATTTTTCTTTGAAATAACAAGTTATTACTTTGTTGAGGTTTTAGTTTTTTGTATACTATCACATTCTTATAAGTTATTTAAATAAAATTTGCATGGGTAAAAAGTAAAGTAATATATTTTTATAAAAAGCATAAATGAAACTTTAACAGCAAGATGATAAATTAGAAAATAATTAGTAAAAAATATTATCTGTAAATGAAAGTAATATTATATGGTGGGCATACATAAACATTTTATGTAGAAACGGTGATAAAATTAATTTTTGTAAATGATATTACCTTTTGGTTCAGCACATGTGGTTATGTGAACAGAAATTCATAATATAGTTTAGTCTATAATTTCAAATGGACGAGAAATGCTTACATTCATTTTTGAAAGAGAAGACACAAGTTCAATAAAAATTATACACAGTGCAAAATTTTTATTTTTTTAATGAGATGTTTAAGCTATTGTCTTTTACATTTTTTAATGCCATATTAAGCACTGAAAAAGTTATTTAGCACATTTTTTCCAAAGCAAATAATTCAGTTTTTTAGAACTAAGAAATAGACAGGATTTTAGCATACAATTTTCCAGTCCTGAATGTAATTTTGTATTCTCATTTGTCGAAAAAATGAGGAACTTTATGCATTTATTTGCAACATGTGCCCGAGAGTTTTTTCCTAACTGAGAGTTTTGTTGAAAGTTACTTAATATGTATTTATAATGCAGTAGTTGAATTTATGTCTAATTCGCTTCTATTACCATATTCTTTCTCCTATTGGAAATTTTATAAAGGCATTATGAATCTGAAAAAAAAATCATAGTAGATATTCATACAAAAGGCTTAGAAAGTGTTGTAATTTA